TTCTCACACGATGTTAGATGACAGAATGCTGTATATGAGGCCTCTCGAGACACAGTGACAACAGAGTTTAACAGCAGTGTGCAACAGAGTTAGACAGTGAGCAGTGTGGAGAGACAGACAGAGAGGCACAGAGACAGGCCACGTTCTCTGTGTTTCCTGTTGTTGCAATAAAACTCAGCTGATCATCTCACGGAGTACCTTCATTCCTGGACCACATATTTCTGTCTTTGTTAAATAAATATTTCCAGAACACACGAAAGGGTTAAATACATTTTAAAGAATTTAATATTGAAATCTTATATTCTAATGAAGATACGTGTTTGGTTGTTTATTTAGATTTATTTCTCTTTAACACACAATCATGACCCTTCTGTACAGCATTAACAATAATTTATTCATATTTTTGTTTTAGTGTGTATATCATAATAGCCTAAGCCCCCACATACATACCTGATCCTGGTCCTAAACCTAACCCACCACCCAAAGTCTGTGTTTTTCTGGAAAATTGTCCACATGATGTAGCAAAAACGCACACTCCCGTTTAGTGGAAAACACTTATATTACAACCAGCTACTTCTTATCGTGTCTGGCTCACAGTTCATTTAATGCATCATTTTCCTGCATCTAGAAATCAGATTTGATCTCACAGAGAGGATAATTACTCACACCGGACACACATTTGCTTCTATTTAACAAATTTAAAAGGGGCGTGTCAGGGGGGCGGAGTCTCTCAGTTTCAATTTTGTTARGATGTATGAGTGAAAGGAGCTCAGAATCATGCGTGTGCACAGTTTGATACATCTGAATATTTCTGTGCATACACACTTTCCCGCTTTTCATCCGTACGACAGCTTTTAATATGAAAACTRCCGCTCTTTGACACACGAGGCCCCTTGACAGGTGAAACCCACCTGGACAGGTAAAACCTGTWCCACAAACAGAAAGCATCACAATGGGGTCAAACATGTCACATCAAAAAAACTCAAACCTCTCAGAAAAAAACAAACAAGAAAAACACATTTGTCATTTTACAGGATTTTAAAAAACAGAAAGTGGTACCAAAAACAGGTCCAGTCAAAAACTGTCCGGCAAACCAGACCTGAGTCTCTGGGTCCGGATTGGGTCGAGACAGAAAGTGCATCAGTGTGTAGCAGTAACTTGGAGTGGAATGTCAATGATCCAAACTTTGTTCACCTCAAGACTTTGGCCCAAAGCATTATTCTGTCT